ATCCCTCAACATCTTGGGGGTAGCTGCCCCGCGGCAGGGACACGGCCCACCTGTTTCAGAGCCCGGAACCCAGAAACTTGAGGCACGCTGGGTTTAAGGCTGTGCTGCGGCCCACGTCGCGGGGACGCTGGGCACTTCAGCACAGAACTTTTTACGGAGACGGTCGGCGGTGTAGTTGTCCTGAGGTCCCCGGACGGAACCGCCAGCCCCGCTGGAAACCCGTTCTGCGGGATCCGGGGTGCAGGTGCTGCTTGCGCACAGTCTGCAGGAGCGGCCATGAGCCGTGCCACTTCGAGATGTGGAGATGCTGGGGCTCCCCGAGTCTGGCCCGCGGTGTGTGCCGGCAGGTGCCCCGGGCTCCCCGAGTCTGGCCCTCGGGGTGTGCTGGGAGATGGGGCTGCCACTCTCGGTCCTCCCCGTGTGCGCTGTGGCGTGGCCAGCCTTGAGTACCGCCCTGTCCCTTAGAACACCCTTTCAGCTGAAATGCCGCCGATGTGTCTGTACCTTGGGCTGCGTGGCGCGGTGGCGGCCAACAGGGCCCTCTTGTTGACAGCTGTGGCAGGAAAGTCCGGTCACAGCGCAGGAGATCAGGTAGTTCAGGGGTCTGAGGTTGTGAAGGAAAGCCCGCCTCTGCCCATCAGCTAGAACCCGCCTCTGCCCATCAGCTAGAACCCATCTCTAGCTAGAACCCGCCTATGCCCATCAGCTAGAACCCATCTCTGCCCATCAGCTAGAACCTGCCTCTGCCCATCAGCTAGAACCCATCTCTAGCTAGAACCCGCCTATGCCCATCAGCTAGAACCCATCTCTGCCCATCAGCTAGAACCTGCCTATGCCGATCAGCTAGAACCCGCGTGGTGAACTACTTCCCCGTGTGCCAGTACACTGCCTGTGGAAGGCGGGGGCCCTTCCAAGGGAGGAGTCCGGACGTTGGAGGGTAGAGTGGGTAAGGGGCGATGAGGCTGGGCGGCCTGACCTTCGCCTCAGCCTCAGCCCGGAGGGTGCTGTGCCCTGGCGGCCACCACAGAGGCGCCTGCACCTTCCTGGCGTTGCTGCAGTTGTGTAGGCAGTGAGTGGAGTAGGGAGCTACGCTGGGCTAGACGAGTCGGTGCTAGTGGAGCAGGTCCGGGTGAGTTGTTGAAAAGTTCTTGAAAGTGGGGCCGGTAGGTGGCGTGGTGGTTAAGGACGCTGGACTTCCACATGGTTGGCGACAGTTCGAGTCTGGGACCTGGCGGCTTGCTTTCTCACTTTCTCTCTCTCTCTCCCCCTCTGGTCAAATTAAGATAAATAAATACATAAATAAAATAATTCTTTAAAAAAAGTTCTTTAAAGTAAGGTTAGCGTTTAGATTGCTGTAAGTTTTTTTAAAGTAAAAATGTCAGTTACAAACCCTTAAGAGCATACATAATTTAGAGTAATTATGCAGAGGCCTGAGTACTTTTTACGTCTCTATTTTATTTTTAAAGAGAGTGTGTGTCCATGGGGGAGAGAGAGAGAGAAGCTCCCCTAACGGTCACCACACTGCTGCCCTCTTCTTCCCAACCCGTAGCTGCCATGTGAGGGTCGGCAGCTGTGCAGGGCCCTGGTGTGCTCTCAGGCTGACCTGGGCATCCAGACCTGTGCTTGGCCAGGTGTTCCGTCGACCATTGTGCCCACCTGGCTGGGCCCGAGGTCAGAGCACCCCCAGTACTTGTCTTAGGTGTCAGGATCACTGCAGAGTAGGACCAGCAGTTAGTGTAATGGCTATGTTGCTGGACTCTCACGTAGTCGACCGCGGTTCGAGTCCCGGACCCGGCGACTTAAACTCACACCAGGCTCGTGTGCATGCGTGCCCAAGATCCCAAGAGGAGAAGGGACTGCGGCGTGGCCATCTCCCCTGGGGGATGATTTCTCGCTTTCTCTGTCTTTCTGGCGAGCGCACGCGCCCTATAGCAAAAACCTCTCCAAAAGATCATTGCAGAGTGAGAGTGGATGGCAACTCATAGTCGGTCTCTTATTTGAACTGTGATGATTTTTTTCAATTCCAACTTGTTTACTTTTTTTCTCAATTTTGTGTAATCTTTGCTTGCCGGAGAGAGACCAGGGAAATTGAGAAGGCGCCCTTGGGGGAGCACGGCCACTCTGCGACCCCTTCTTCACCTTTCTCCCTTCAGCACTTTGGGCACATGTGCACCCAGCACGTCTTCCGTGTCAGTCTGGGCCTCGAACCACGCAGTCGGCACCACGTGAGATCTGACTGCCTTAACCACCACAACACTGGCCGGCCCTCAGTTCCAACTTCTAAGTGAATTTACAGTTTTTAATTTGTATTAAAAATTCACAAAGAGGGCTAGCCAGTGGCATGGTGGATATTAAGGTGGCTGGGTCCCACATGGCTGGCTGAGCAGTTCAAGTCTCGGGCCAGTGGCTTGAAAGACATGCCAGGCGTGCGTGCGTGCGTGCGTGGCCAACATCCTTAGAGAAGGATAGAGGAAGGATTGTCGCAGCATCCTTCTGGTGGGTGATCTCTCCCTTTCCCTCTCTCTGTTTCTGTCTCCTGCAAGTGCACCCTATAGCAAAAAGTGGGGGCAAGAATCACAGGAGAATTTGGAAGAGTGCACAGGTAGCTTTGGTGTAAAGGGTGATTCGCGGCCCAGCCGGTGGTGGGTGATGAAGGCTCCTGGAGCCCACATGGCCGACTGTGCAGTTCGAGTCCTGGACCCAGTGGTTTGAGAGGCAGGTGCATGCCCGGAGTCTGGAGAGGAGAGGAGAGAAGGGTCTGCTGCTGTCCCCGGGGAGGGGCTTTGCTTACTTACTTCTCTGTCTTTCTAGCAAGTGCTCATGTTGTATAGCCAAGATCGAAAGAGATGGAAGCGTCCCTCGTTTTATTAAAACACTAAATAATGTACTGATTTGGAGGGAAGAGAGCAGCGAGGCCTGGGATCCTGTACACGGGTCCTGTCCTCAGCCCTCATGAGTATTTCGGAGTAAGTTTATTTACCAGGCTAGCCAGTGGTGTGGTGGGCTGGATCCCACACAGCTGACTGCATGACGCAGGCCTGGACCCGGGAGTTTATCGAACAAGCCGGGCACACATGCCTGCTTGCCCTAAACCCAAGAGAATGGAGAAGGGACGGCGGGCCATCCCTCCGAGTGGCCATTTCTCTCTCTGTGCCTCTCTCTCTGGTGAGTGCACATACCCTACCACAAATTCTAAAAAATACCGAGGAGACAAATGTATGATCTCCCCCCTGAGCATGAGACATGTCTCTCTAGACAGAGATGTAGCAGCCACGGCACTCCCCCACCCGAACAGCCTGGCCCGGCACAGGGATGCCCAGCCCAGGGAGCAGCCGCCACGCCCCATCTGCCCCTGGTGCCTTCAGAGCCCTTGACAGGTTGTGGCTACAATGCCTGTTCCTCAGCGCTTTGCAAGCCTGTGCACAGTGTAGACAGTGTGCATGGCGGCCTCGGGGCGTGCCATCCACAGCCTGGGCTTGGGGCGAGGACGTAGGGTGTGAGTGCAGAGGTGGTCTCCTTTCCGAGAGCTTCCCCGAAGGCGCAGGTGCTCCTGGGACTGGGGTCCCTCGGTGTGGCCGCTGGTGCCTGGGCCTTCTGGGCCGCGCTCCGGGAAGACGGCAGGTGAGGGCTCACGGGAGCAGGCTGCAGCCTGGCACTGGACGGGGTTCAGGTAGGAACGGGAGGTTCTGCCTGGTCTGGGGTGCATTCACTTGGCTCAGGGAAGGGTGAGGACGCCCTCTGAGGACAGGGTGCTCATCTCATAGGCTGGCACGGGACCACATGGCTGCGGCTGCTCTTGTTGCTACGGCAGCAGACTAATAGAATTTGTAAACAAAACAAGGAGCTCCTTAACAGTTGTTCCTGCTTTGAAAGCATCAGATGAATTTGACACGTTTTCAGTCATTAAGATCCTAGATGTTAGGGGCCGGCAGGTGGGGCCGGCAGGTGTGGTGGCTGGCAGTCCAGCAGTTAAGAGCGCTGGACTCCCATGTGGTTGACCATGGTTCGAGTTCCAGACCTGGCAGCTTGCTTTCTCATTTTCCTTCTCTCCCTCTCGCTCACCTGTTCTCACTCTGTTCCTCTCTGGTCAAATTAAAATAAATAAAATAAAGTTAAATAAAATCATTTTAAAAATGACTTACAAAGATCCTAAAATATTTAGTAACCAAACATCAATAGAACAAGCAAACTTACTATTTTTTTTTTAGAGAGAGATTTTTGCTATAGGGCATGTGTTCTCAACAAAGACAGAGAGAGAAAGCAAGAAATCACCCCCCATGGGGGATGGCCACGCCGCAGTCCCTTCTCCTCCTTTCTGCTCTTGAGATGGGGCATGCACGCACATGCGCCTGGCATGAGTTTTAAGCTTCCAGGTCCAGGACTCAAATCGCGGTTGACGATGTGGGAGTCCAGCGACCTAACCATCATGTCACCTGTTGGCTCCAGTAAATTTATTACTGACTGAAACTATTTAAGAAAACTAAAATTGCAGGGCCAGCAGTTGGTGTAATGGCTATGTCGCTGGACTCCCATGTAGTCAACTGCGGTTCGGGTCTTGAATCCGAGGGCTTAAACTCACGCTGGGTGTGTGTGTTTGTGTGCCCAAGATCCCAGCAGGGAGAATGGAGAAGGGATTGCGACGTGACCATCCCCCCTGGGGGGTGATTTCTTGCTTTCTGTCTCTCTGTCTCTGTCTTTCTGGTGAGTGCACATGCCCTATAGCAAAAACCTCTCCCAAAAAAGAGAGAGAAAACTAAACTTTTTTACTTAGAAAATTGACTACGTTCGTCCTTCAGACTAGCGGTCCGTGGGTCTGCCTGCTCCACTCAGTGTTAAAGCGGCATGTCCTTTTCTTCTTTCTGTCTCCTAAGACTTGACTTGCTGAGGTGACCCCTCCGCGTGTGCACTGACACACCCAGCTCCTACACACGGCGGCTAAAAAGAGAGAGAAAACTAAACTTTTTTACTTAGAAAATTGACTACGTTCGTCCTTCAGACTAGCGGTCCGTGGGTCTGCCTGCTCCACTCAGTGTTAAAGCGGCATGTCCTTTTCTTCTTTCTGTCTCCTAAGACTTGACTTGCTGAGGTGCCCCCTCCGCGTGTGCACTGACACACCCAGCTCCTACACACGGCGGCTGTGCCGCCCGGCCAGCCCCGGGCTTGCCATCTGCTCCAGCCTCCTGGCAAGCTGCGGTCCCGAGTGTGGGCTTCGAGGTTGGACTGGGACCACACCCGGGCTGCCAG